TGTTTTACTTCTCCTCTAATTTTTCTTTCTCTTTTTAGTTTCTTCAACCCCAGTTTCTTTCTCTTCCGTATCACCTGCTATCACCTCCTGCTTCAACTGGAGTATGCACGAAGCTCAATTAGAGTGTGCTCCCATGTGATAGTTTTAAAAAATGAGTTTTCAGGGATCTTATAAAGGTACCAAGTATCTAGTACTTCAAGCAGCAGCAATTTTTCACCCAAAGATATGCACTCACCATCGTAGTCTGGAGAGGCCAGGCAGAGTCCCCAAAAGGCGCAGCACAGCATAAGCCTCCGTGGCAGCCGTCCACTCCCGAGGGTCTCCATTCTGGTGCAGGATCCAACAGTGCACTGCTGTGCTCAGAGCTGTGCAGGAAAGGTAGTATTAAGTGACCCTGCTTACGCATTTCCTTCTGTTAGTCCTTAACTCACGGAAGCACCAGGCTTATCCCGTGAAGGATGAGGCGTATGGGGGGCTGTCACGACACGCACGAGTATGTGTTGCCCAAGCAGAGGCTTAGCTCCAGCGTCAGATGCAGGACTGGGAGGGGCATACGTATCCAGATCCACAGTATATTGGGGCCGTACTGCATCGTCAGAGCTAGACGATGGCTCGAGTGACTCATTTGGGCCTCCTTCCTGCTCCAGAATATTCCTGGAAATAACAAACGTGATCAGATTTGATGCAGTTTGAATTTGGTTTAGAGTGTAAACTGGACTTCTGACCTCCTATGTCAAGCATCCTTCCACACAAGAGAGACCCAAGTGGCTCTGTGTGAGATTCGAGGTCTTTCTGCACATCCTGATTCAGAAGGCTTTCTGGTAGTGCAAATTCAGAAGATATCCCCTCACAGAAACATAAATGAAGTGCAGGAGAACTGCAGATCCAGAGAAACCTCTGGGCTCTCACAGCCTCATCTTGCGGCAGTTAAGGGTTTTCAGTGTCTGCCTTGCAGTCCCCAGATCAGGCTGGGCCTTTCAGAGTGCTCTCGTTTCTTTACTTTTGCTCCTGCTCCCTGGCTAAACAGGGGGCAAAGCTCCTGCACCTTCCTTCTTGATCTCACTTCAGAGGTTGATCAAAAGTCCTGTGGGTTGGAGCTATTTGCATTTGAAAGAATCAGCACTAGCACCAGCCTGGAGTGTGGTAACATGTAAACGATAAGTGGCGAGGTCTCACGGCTTGATGGAGACACTGTGCTTCCGCTGATAAACTACCAGCAACAGGGAGAGCAGCTCCATCCAGCAGGAAAGGGGCCTGACAAGGGTGCACAGGAAGTCTCTGCTGTTGGGTAGATAATGGTGAATTTTAGTCACTCTTGCCCAAGAGCTGTGTTTTTCCAGAGATGTGCAGTCTCCACCCAGTAAACTCCCAAGAGGGTTGAGCACTCTGTGTTAACTAATAGCTTGAAGCAGCGGCATGCTGCTGCCACATACCTGCTGGTTGTATGGAGATGACTCACGTAATGTAAGAGGGACTGGCAGATGTTACCTGAACCTTTAAGATCCTTTGCTGCTTGGTCCCCCCTTCTCTAACTCTTTGAGAGTGTAAGTCCCTTCCATGCTCTGTCTTGCACTGCATTGCTGGGAAAATCCCAAATCCTCTCCCATCACCTGTGTAAGAGCCCCAGCGTGACCACTTCCCAGTGGTCATCAAGTGGGTAGGCCAGTGGGGCAGGAGGTCATAGCTTCAGAGGTTGCTGGTTTTTAGGCTTTTGCTCTCCAGTCCCCTGCCTGGCTTTGCAAGGGAGTAAAGACAGAAGCTGGAGTCCGGGCAGTAGGAACTGTAAATTTGGTTTGGCAACCTGAGGAGTAGTTCATTTCTTTCTCCTCAGCTTATGAATGGCCTCTTCTGTGAAGGTTGCACATCTGAGCCTGGCTGCTGTTTGATGAGATTCTTCTATTCCAAGGAGAAAATGATCCTATTTCCTTTGCTTTCACCATATTCCCACATCCTTGTGCCGAGCGTGTCGAGAGGTGGAGTTCCACTGGCAGGGACAGGGAAGATGCAATGTTAGATGTTTTGCTTTTGTGATTCTCTCAGGATTTATGAACCATTACAGAATGACTCATGTGGCCACATATTTTCCATGCCTCAGCCAGGATCCTTTCCATGCTCTGTATGCAAAAAATTAGACATAATCAGGTTCAGATAGTGTGCAAATCGCAGCCCTGCTTCCTATGGACAGGTCTCTGGAGTGGAGCAGAGAGAGGTTACTCACTGCTGTGTCCTTCATTTTTCAGATGCTGTGTGATCTTTAGTGACTGCTTTAGATGCAGAACAGCTTGCTTGAAAATTCTAATGCCAGAGGTTTGTCATGGCTTGTTAACATCTCTTTAAGTCGTGTGATCCCTGCCCTGTGGGGCAACAATTTGGTTTTAAAGTAATTCATTGTGCAATAGATCATCTCCTGGGAGAAGGCGCTCTTTTATTCCATGGCTCTGAACCCAAAAGATGTAATGCTGGAAAACAGGCTAGGGATTTTAAAGCTCAGAGGGAGGGTACAAACAAACACCACCTGGCCTGTCCCATACATCTTTAAGGCTTGGAAGAGCAAACTTTGGTAGGCAAATAATGGGGCTTGCTATTTCTGCTCTGTTCCAGCAGCTCTAGAGAGTTCTTCAGCTGCAAGTCAGGTGTGAAGAGGGAAATGTTAGTGCAGCTAATACCTGCTCCAGGCTGAGGTCGTGTTTGCGATGCAGACACAAGAGGCAGCTGACCATGGAGGCAGCAGCTCTGCCTTAGCGCCAGCAGCATGAAGCATTTCCACCAGTGTCAGCACAACCTCACATTTTCCATGAATGCAATGCTGGCCCTGCCTTTCCCAGCCGCTGGGTGTGCAAGCATCTGAGCCTTCGCAGAACCACAAGGCACAGAAAACTTCCACTGACTATTGAAATAGAAACGATGGTCCTTCGAACCAGGATCCCCCCACCCCAGATTTGTCTTTGCGGGCTCTGGCACATACAAGACGACTTCATGCCTTGGGCATTCTTCCTGACTTTGCCATCACACCAGCTCCCCTTCCTCTCACTTCATCAGGTCTCTTTCTTACCATCACCCTGAGACTCTCCACAGCTCCAGGGAATCTCCCTGCCTCTCTTCTCTTCTGCTTGTTCCACGGTTCTCCTGTTCCACTGGGATCCCATCCAATCTTTTCCCTTGGTTATGCCACACCTTTTGTGCTCGCATTCTCCTCACCCCTTGCAAGCCTTATGCTGGTGTAATACTTTTGGGGAGACAGGTTTTTTTCAGAACTGCTCTTCTGCTTGCTTGCAGTTTTCACTTCAGAGTGTAGGAAGCCCACGTGAAGCCATTTTTCAGGAATATGAGTTTATTAGCATCACTACAACTCACTATATGTTCTGGAACAGCTTCTTTTGGTCCTTTCTCAGCAAGATAATGACACTGGCGTAGGGGCTACTTTGCCTCATAGAGACAACATCATCCCTTTTCAGCACTGGGTCTCAGATGATTCTTTTTGGATTCATCCTTTAGCAGAGGTATGGTTTAGAATTGCTAGACTTTAAATTAGTCTTTAATTCTGATGAGTGGAAGGTAGAGCGTACCTCTGGTTTCATTAAGGTTGAGTTACTTAGTTCTCAATCCAGAGGAATGGCTAAAGCACGAAGAAAAACTCAACTCATGTTTACACACATACTTCTAGACTACCTCTCACTGGTCCACAGCCCCGTCTTTCTCTCTGTGCATCACTGTGATACAGAAACATGTTAAAAAAAAAAAAGTCCTGAAATATTAAATACTGAATTCAGGTACTCCCTTTAGCAATTCTTAATTTAGAAAACCATTAATTCTTATTCCATCCTGCAAACCTGAAAGAGATTTTTAAGCTGTCGTTGCCAAAGCTGTCCACTTGCTGAGATCTCCAACTGCTCTTGGGTGATGTCAGATCTGGCTGTCCCTCCCCTTGAGCACAGGGAACGTCCTCTTTGTGAGAAGTCCAAGATCTCTGCGAGAAGCCTTGTGTAAAGTGGACTGCGTCCTCTGAGACGCCACTACCATCATTTTAATCAAATTATTCCATGCAATTTATGCATCAGAGGATTGTTATTAGGAGAACAACAGTTTGTTTCCCTGTGAGCAAGTAATACGCTGCACAGAAAGCAGGCTTGCCTTTTGTTATGGCAACGGAAGTGTTGAGAATGATGTAAAGGAAACTCCTATCAGATCTGGGTCACATCACTACAGCTTAATTTGCAAAATCTACACATTCATTTGTTGTGCAGAGCTCACAGGGAACACAGTTAAACATGTTATTACCCAGGAATTTGGGGAGGTTGAAGGAAAGGCGGGTGGAGGGTTATTTTCATGGTTGCAGTTGTATTGTCTTAACCTGTAGCAGATGTGCTTATAGATTTCAGAACTGGAATCAGTCACTTTTCTTGAATGTCTGTTGTATTTAGCGTGAGAGGACTTGGGGGCCAGGTCTGGACCATATTTTTGCGCCACACCTCTCATGGCAAAGGTGCTGCTAGAAATAAACCAATCTGCAAAAAGATAGGCTTTGCTGGCACCACACACAGTTTTCTTTTGAAACCCTATCTCTGCGTGGAGCAACTGTGCCACCCCATGGACTCCCGTGCTCTCGTCCCGCCGTGGGCCTTTGCTCCAAGAGAGGTCTTGGCAGCGCACACAGAAGTACAGAGCCACAGGCACTATCTTCCTGCATGGGATCTCCTGCTGCACGCTACTTGCAGGAAACTTATTTCCCTTTTATGTTAGCTACTGCACTAGCTTACATACGCTTACTGTGCACTAATTTCTCGGTGTGGGTAAGGTTAAAGATTTGCTGCCTGCTGGCCCACATCTAAGTCGTTACATCCTGCAGCCTGTCTTGCAACTGCTTGAAGGGAAATTCATCCAACTTTTCAATTGCATTTTTCTACCATTTAAAATTCAGTTTCAGGTGCAAGACAATCAGTTCTGGGGATTGTCAGAAAGTTTCAATTAATTTAAAACAAATTTAAAACAGTGAGAGCTGCAGACTTTTAAAATCAATATTTTATTTTACTTGAATGTGCAAATAAATATAAAAAAAAAACTACATTCAAAGAGCTGGCAAAGCAATTACAAGCCCAAAAGCAAAGATCCTTCAAAAAAATGGAAGAACAAACTCTTGAATTAAGGTCGTGCTAGCAGATACACAGCGGTCGACGTTAGCAAGCCACTCTCAAACCTGCACTGCCTGCTTATTTCATTCACATAATTTGCTACTATCATTTTTGAGACAATAGCACTGTAAAGGGCGAAAGTCTTACTTACTTAATCTGTTCAGATTATAAATTAAGGTTTACAAAATAAGGATGCTTAAAAATACCTGAAGTACACTTAAAAATGGGGAGATGGAACAGGACGGTGCACAGGTGCGTTACCCTCCTACACCCTGGTACACTTGGAATCAAATGCATTTTAAGCCACAAGTTGCAACCTATTTTCTAGTAAACATTTTTTCTGTATCATAAAACCATAAAATTTGGCACAGTTGTCATCTCCACTGGAAGACAGCAGAGAGGTGAACAGGACTGAGGTGTATTTTGTTGAGCTGTCTGGAAGCAAAAGGGGGATACTGTGCTTTGCAGTGGGCTTGTCCACCCAGCCCTCACATAGCTACGTGGTCAGTGTCTTTTATCATTTACTGCAACAAGAGCGGGGAAGAACCTTCAGAGTTTCAGTAACCAAAATTTAACAGAGACCCAGACAACAAGAACATGAGTTCTTGATGAAAAGTCCTCTGCTGGCAGTGGTTGTGCAAGTGGCCACGAATGCCAGAGACTGGCCTCCCTCCTTCCCTCCTACAGACTATTTTGCAAAAAAGACAAAGAGTCAGTACAGTTTTCTATTAAACGTACCCCAAAGGCCAATTTTTCTACTGTCAAGTGAGACAATTGCAAAACCAAATGTTGTACAGTGGAAATAACCCAGGACAAATCCTACAGGCTGCTCCTTAGGTCTGGCAGAAATTATAACCTAAAAATCAAAGCCACAAAAAATATCGGGGTGAGGGGGCTATTCCCCCAAAAGCCAGAAAAAACGTTGGAAGCAGAGCTGAAAGGAGGCTTGGACCTGCCTCAAGACATTATGTTTGTAATACACTCCATGGACAGTGTGCTTGCCCTTGGCCCCTGAAAAACAAGAGTGAAGTCACAGTGGGGCTGTAGGACAGACACAGCTAAGTTTTCTTGATTTTTCAATAGATTAAGTCAGACAATTGACGTAGTGTTCTGCATGGTTTGGGGTAGGTTTTTTGTTAGGTTTCATTGCAAGAAAGCTTAGATAGAAGTACAGATGGTTCAGTGGAAAAGCTTGTCTACGATGGTTGTGGCTGGATCTAACACTGCCCATTACAGATTTCCATGTGTCACTGCAAATACAGCATCTGTGCTGACCCAGCAGAAACAGCAAAGTATCTGGGACAAACCTCAGATCCAGTGCAAACACTGTGCCGCAAGAGCTCCATCTAATGATGTTACTGACGTGGTACAACCCAGCAGAACCACGGAGTCCGGGCATGCACAAGGAAAGCGAAGCGCCCGAGAACGCAGTCTCCAGAGGCTGCCAATCAACATGCAAAATACAAAAAAAAAAAAAAGAAAAAAAAAAAAATAGGCCAGACCTCACAATGGATATTCCTCCCCAGGCACACGCTCCAAGCAGCTCCAGATCTGAGAAGGCAGAGTCTGCAGCAGGTCGTAAGTTCACAAAGCAACAACATGGGATCCGGTGCACATCTGCAGAGGGGTAGCTGACGGGCCTAGGCTGTCTTGCGCCGCAGAATGCTCTCTTGCCTAGCACTGCAGCTCAGAGAGTTTCTTCCCCTTAGTTCACGCTCCAAAATACTTAGTTGATGAGTGAGAGTTAAGAGCGTTTAGTACGCCATTCACCCTTCTCTCAGTTTTGGCATTTTTCTCACCAGAGCACCAGTAACAAATACTGCATTCATTGCCTTATTAGTACACATAGATAATGAAGCAGCCCATAGTGGGGCTAGCAATCTGTGCCAGGTGCTCTCAGCCCCACTGGCACTTGGAGGTTACCTCGAAGAGTTCTGCAGGCTCCAAGACGGCATAAATTCAGGAAGATAGGGAACATTAAACCTTTCAAAGTGGAAGCAGCTGCCAGCATCTGCTTGAACACCAGCCCAGCTCCATCTCTTCAGCAAAGCCACTAGTGGTAGTTCGCCCAGAGCCTGACCCCCTCACTCAGCCTTCCAGTATTGGCTGGTCAGCAGTGGCCTAAAGCTAGGAAACTACTAAAAAGTGTGTGGCAATGCCAAGAGCCCTCTTCCCATAAAGCTTTTAAAAGTCTCTTCATGATGGCTGGAGGATTACACTGCAAGGAGACAAGTCTATGCCATACGGAAAATACATCATAATCCAAAGTAAAATGCTGTTTGGATAAATATCATTAATACATACATTGCATTCCCACCACTATTCTCAGAGTAAATGTATTTCACCAGCAACGCTCCTACTTGTCTTGGTCCCAGGAACAAGTCTCTGCTCACGGTGAAGCTGGACGGCGACTGTACTGAACTCTGTATCTGTTCACTGGGACCCCATGGACATTCACCGTCTCACAAGTTGTTTTACAGGGCACCATCTCCTCGTCTTCGTCTCCCATCAGCCAGTCTTGAACTACATCAACTGCCTCCATGGTCACGTTCTCTTCTAGCCACCTATTGTGCCACTCTTCAAACTGCTGGTGATGCTTTAGCAGCACCATTGGCTGTACCTGAAAGCAAGACACGTAAAGATCACTGACAGGTTTCTGGGGGAGAAGCCAAAACCTTCACCTCTTTGTGTGTCCGAGACGTGCATGCTTTACAACACAACACAAACAGTAAAACAGGAAACCGCATACCTGCATTTAAAGATCTCTATTTCTTAATGTTTGCCACTCCCCCTTAAAATTTGCATGGTAAAGTAAAGGCTGCTAAACTAAACTAAAGTACAGAGCATTTACCAGCTCTCCTCCATGTTTCATCCAACACAGAGTAGTAACTTCTGGGTGTAGTTTGCAGGGATTCAGCCACAAGACTTCTTATCGGTACCTGTCTTTTGCCTCACATCCTCAACCTCTGCTACTGCCTGAGCTGCAGAGAGAGTAATAGGAGATGCACCTGCTTGGCTCGGCAGAGAGCTCCCCTCCTGTACATGTAATCCTCCGAGTTCATGATGAACATCATTTTGTGGGTGTTGAGCTTGAACCGGCAGTCCACGTTGCAGGCACTTTCCACCCCAATCAGCCTCTTCCAGGAGCTCTTCACTTCGCTACGCAGAGCTCTCACTTGCTTACATTGCCACTTGCGAAACTTTTTTAGGTTTCTAGAACAAAACAAGGATTACGAAGCACGTGTCACACTCGGTTATCCATTCTCTTAAGCTAGCAGAGCTGACGGCGTATGAAATTTGTATTCCCACATTTAGTTTTCAGACTTTCTCCAGGATCTTCCTCCATACACTCTGACAAATATTTAGTGAAATGGGAACAAATTAGACCTCAAATCCCTCCCAGAAGGGACTGCTTAGACAGTCCCACTCCTTTCTAAACACAGTTTCATGAAAAAACCTCAATGCCGTGGTCATAAATTTTTTCTTCGGCATTCTTATGCAGTGCACTGGACTACAGCAGCCCCTTTGGACCTCAAAGATGAGTGCGTTGCCCTGGAGTTGCTTGTATGGCACATCACCTAAAATGGCTGCCACACATGGAGAGAGGAAGCAGTACCAGCTGCTGCAGGCGTGACTCAGGAGAGGGAGCATGCTCACCTTTGCAGAAAGACCGGTTTCAATAAGAAGCCATCATTCTGGTTGTTTGGAGCTCCTTCTACCCCAACGTACTGCTCCATGTAGTTAGCCAGGTGCTACACAAGAGAGACCATTTTCAAGTCAGATTTTGCTCTCATCAAGAAAAACACCACTGCAAAGGACTAGTTTATTTCCAAGCTGCTTTTTATGAAGCTGCTGGTATCTCACTCAACCCCAAGCTGAATTACATTGCAACTCTTTCGCTAACATACCCGTTTCTGTCAATGACCACAGCCCCACATGTAATCTTCCCACCTCCCAGGTAAACTTCTCCTCCTGGCAAAGTCTCACAATTTGGAACAAGAAAGCGGGAAAGCATTCTTGGACATCTGCTTTGTCTTGGTACAGCAGACTCCATGGTCACTGTGATATTACCTGGACCTCCACGGGATCTTCTGTCTGGGTTTCTTCTGTATCCAGAAGCTCAATGGTCATGATCACCTGTCCTTTCCGCTGAAGAAACATTACCTGTAAAAGTTACAGGCACAAGATATTGGCCACATGGGTTCACAATAAAATGCTGTATATTCACAACAAGTCACTTGGACAACAAATACGAGCTAGGAGAGAAGTAAGCAGCAAGGCTTTTCAGTGAGCCAGGATGCCACTTCACTGTCTATGCTCTGGTTTTGGTACCTTCTCTTCACATTGCTCTCTCTCAGCATTGTGGCCTTAGAGCTTCTAAACCCACTTCTCCCAGGTCAAGTGCCACAGTCACTTTATGAAGTTTCCTGGCAGCAAGTTCTTACCTTGAAACAGTTCTCATCTGCCATGCAACGTTCAGCCTTCCACTGGTAGCTGGTCTCCTTTGCTGCCCGGACACACCTAGAGGATAAGTTACCTCCAGCAGCACCTCGCTTCCTTTCATTCAAGTAGAGCTCAACAACCTTCAAGCAGATGTCATCGCTCACTAGATGGTGAAGCTTCCATTAAAAAAGGGGAAATTCAGTCAGCAAGTCTGGGCCAAGAGTTAAGTCTAGTGTGTTATGAAAGGAGCACAAAACTCAGCACAGCATCACACCTCAGATGAAACAGCAAAGTCTCTCCAGAGACTTCACACATTTCACTCTCTTTTTCATTACTTTGCAATAAAAGGAACAGAGAAGACTGAGGGGCTGATGTGCCTTAACTGTAACAAAACTACAATTAGAAGACAGATTTGAGTAAAAAGGACTGGACCTTTTTTTTTTTTTTTTTTTTGCCTTAGATGTATTTTGGAAATGGCAGAATTTTGAAAAGGCTGGAACTCAAAACATGTTGGAAAAGGCCAGGAAGAGAAAATCCCCTAAGGTGGTCTCTGTACTGAAGCTGAACAATCTCACTAAACTTCTGTTAGAGTGTTTCCCCTACATATATAACTTTTCTATGAATTTGCTTTAAGTTTAGTGAGTCCTTGCATTACAGGTTACTGTGAGAAACCTATCTGTCTATAGAAGGGAGATGTGCAGCCCCCCAAACACACAGCACAGCCATCAAATTAGTTACCTGGCGGACAATATTCTGCACCAGTTTGTCCATAGTAAAGCCAATATAGGCATGGATAGTGAACATCTCCCTCAGAGTGTCCTCGTACTGCGTTGGGTCAATATTCCCATCCAGCAGACTCCTCACCATATCCAGGAACGCAGGGTAGTACTCCTCCAGCTCCACTTCACCTGGGTAGGGGAGAAGTGCAGTCACTTAATGCATGTAAGAGGCAGAGTGAAGTCAAGAGATACAAGGGACAGCACTGCTCAAGAACCATGACATTCAGTACCGAGAATATGCTTACAGGCAGACAGTTCTCCGTAAGGAGTGCTGACAGACTGTAAGTGTTTTATCTCGTGCACTTCCGTGAATGCCTTGTGTAGTTAACTATTTCGTTGTGGGGCCATTTACATTTTAAATCAAAGCGACAGATCAATACAATGAGATGCTTGAGAACATCTGACAACAGTGGGCTTGCGTGAAGTCTCTATGAACTACGCATGAGAGCCCTCAGAAGATCAGGTGCAAACTGGCTATCGTGTTGAAATTAGCTGTATCCACAAATCACAAATATAGTGGAGGTTTGCACCTCTGCATTCCTTACAGACTTGCCTGCAGGTCTCAGTTACCCAGATATACACAATCGAGCACTAGCAACCAGAGCATTAAGAATGGACTATGTCCTGGGTTATTCTTACTTGGTTGCTTCAGTCTTAGTTCCATGGCTGGATCATTGGTTTTTTCTTTTCTTCCCTCACAAAGAAGTTTCTCTCTCTCTTTTTCAGTCCGATATTCTAGAAGCTGCTTCTGAGCTTGACGATAAATCTTTAGGAGCCTAGAGCACAGAGTCTGGTGAAGGCGGAGGAAGAAATACCAATTATTATTGACAAAGAACAGACTGTAAACATCATCCAGAGTGTTGTGGGGCTCAGCAGCTGTAACATCACAGAAGGTTGCTTTTGCCTCCAAAGGACTGCTTGGAGGCCCAGGCACATTTTTTTTCCGTAGCTCAGGAGTATCCAGGTTCTGCCCCTGATGGTTTTCTCTGTCTTCATCTGTTGATTCTTCAGAAATACTGTGCTCAGGGGGCTGAGAGAAAAACAGCTCAGGTATGAAATGATGCACTATCTGCCGGATGGTTGCTTGGTCCTCCTTTTGGATAGTAGGCTGCCTTTTTACATAATAGCTGATAAGAGATGCTGCATCTTCCAAAATCTGCTTATCTTCATAGATGAAGATAAGATGAGGCTCATTTGTGGACGAACTTCTCCCTTCTGAATGCTGCTCCTGATGCTGTAATCAAGAGACAAATAGATAAAGATCCTTCCAATCCATGCTCAAGAGCCATTCCTGCCAGAAGAAATAAGCCAGTATTAACGCTATGCTTGGGACAGTCATTTTTGACTGAGAACTCTTCAGAGCACTACCACTTCAACAAGGTCCCAGGTGCTATGTAAACATCTAGATAATACTATAAATGAAGGACACACAGGATGGAGTATTTACTAGCATACGCACCTCATCATAGACACTCTCAATTTCATTCAGCAAGCTCTTGGAGCGCAAAGCTTTGGTGTCATTTTGTTTGAAGTTGACGGCCTGGTGGTCAAGGGACTTCAAGTAGGCTTTCTCATACTGCTCCCGCCAAATTTTGTTGAAGCCCTGCTGGGCCTCCCGCCATTCCTCCTCTTTTGCTTTCAATCTGTGTAAATGTATGATCTACTTCAGTTCAAAAAGACAACCACAGAAATGCACACAAAGCATTTTTAATGTAGCCAACTGTGATGCACCAAATGCTTTTCAGTATACCTGGAAGCAATAAATAACTAAAAAAAGGCACCACCACTGAAGAGAAGTTATCCTTTGAAACAACATCTACAGAAAACAGTTGTTTAAAAATGCTTTAAAAATTCTGTATCTTAAAGAAGGTCTTAAAGAACCCGGGTGGACACAGGAGACTGGGAATTACCTCTTAAGAACAACAGGAACTGCAGTAACTGGGTTTTTCTTAAGACTTTCAATGATCTCTGGTGCTTTATCACCATAGATGCGATAGATGGCCCTGCGCTGGATCACTTCTGATGTTCCTCCCAAGCAATCATCCAGTCGAAATTTCTCCTGATCCTCTTGAGTCAGTCGTGACAGTTTTTTCTGCACACTCTCCAGCACACGTATTGTGGCTAAATTGGTCTCCAAGACAACATCCAACTGTTAAGAGTTCACAAAAGACACAGTGTAAGAGCAGGCATAGCAGGAAAATGGAGACCAGCGGCACCAGGTTTGTGGCATGCATTCCAGCCCCACTGGGTGGAGCTAAGAAACATCAGCAAGGTTTCTTACTGGAAAATATACCTCTGCCAGTTCTCCCAAAGGTAATGTGCTTTTTAGAACTGGACTCATGCCTAGAAAGAACTATTGGACTCCAAGCAAGTGGAAAACACCAAACTCTAGCTGAAACCAACGAACACTAACAGAACTTTCAGTAATTGGTCCCCAATTAATTCAGTCAAACTCCTCATAGCTACAAGTTTTGCTTTCTGAGGAGGCAGACAGGCAGAAAGGAAGCTCAGTAGCAGAGGTACCTCAAACCGCTCATCTTCACAGCGGTGCAACTGCTCCTCATAAGGAGTCTTCTTGGAGCTGACAAAAGTGGAGTCTTCAGACCAGGATGGAAATGAAACCCAGGTATCATTTAACACCTGCAACAGTGCAAAGACATGACATTGAACAGAGCCTTATGAGCCCAGAGCTGTTCTCATGGGGTCTGATACTTCTCTGTTTTATTTTTGCACAGTTCTTCCCTGCGTTTCTATTGCAAGTTTCAGACCTAGTTCACAAGTCACTGTCATGACTCAGAAGATCAGAGGTCTGTGTGGAACTGTGCCAGGGCCCTGCTCAGAAAGCTCAAAAGCCCCTTCACTATCATCTCACAAACCAGAGAGATCACTCTGCAGTAATCAGCAACTGTAAGTAAAGGAGACAGATTTGCCAAAGACAGTGAGAGGTGGGAGCACCTATGCTGCAGATGTCTGTTCTCAGTGAGAACAGTGCCTAAGACACTGGCTCACAGTGCTCTTTCAGGAGAAAAACTGTTTCTAAAGGCCGTATTGGTCCACTGCTAGAAAATTAATTTCAGGCTATTTAATATACTTTTCTGTCTACAGGAATAAATTTGTGTATGCACACAGACTCAAAAGACATTAAAGTGAAAGACGTGATTTGAGATGGGCTTAGATAAAATTAGTAAAATGCATGTGGATACTCTTATTTCAATAAATTGGATGAATAACTGCTGTGAGATTAAAGCTGGCTAATCAGCATTAAAGAGGGGAATCCACATGCAGAAGCTGTAGCACTAACTACCCCACTTCAAGGTACGTAAGTGCAATGTGTTCAGGGACTGAACAGGTTGATCCCAAAGTACCTCCTTGCAAATGGCTGTTCTTCCACTGCACTTTGGCTGCTGATAGGTTTTTGGGAGAGCCCGGTAACTTGATCCTATGCGTTTGCAGGAAGCATAATCAATTTCCCGACTCATTCCATCTCCAGATCGGTCACTCAGAGGAGAAGCAAATGAAAGCTCTTTCACACCAAGAAAGGACTTGAACTGTGCAAAGAGTTCTGGGAATTTCCTTCAAAAACACAAGTAAGCATATTTTGTTATTTCACTCTAACAGTTTTAGGGTGGCTAACGTGTGTTATAAAAGTGAGGGAGAAAATCTAAACAAACAGCATTGCAGTGAGAAATCTTTCACCAACGTTTTACCTCTGTTATCATTCTCTCTGAATTACTTTAGGGTTTTTTTTTTACTTAAGGCAGGAAAAGAATTTCCCTTCACAACTTCACGAATGCTCCCCTTAACTGATTGAGGAGTCACTGATCCTTGCCATCTGACTCCCCCTCTTCTGTTGGAAGCCAAACAGCACGAGAGGCTCACATCAGAGCTAGCACTATTTATCCTTTTCACAGCTCTGAGATTTCATGTTTATACCTGTATTAAATTTTGAGAGATTAGAACAGGGAGCGTGAACAGAGACCACCCTCCAGAATTAATGAGGTTCTCTGCCCCCTGATGATTTGGTGTAACATCAGCTAGTCTGCTGCTTGTGAGGCTTTCAACTGGATGCACAGACAGAGGAAAATATCCTCCCCAAAATGCTCTTTAAGAGCTGAGTAGATATATTAAAAGATTCAGATTTTATTACTCCTCTTTTTGGATTAGCCTTCAATTTCTTGCATGCTACCTAGGAGATATTTCTGAAGTTAAATCCAAAACTTCAGTAACAAATTTCACAATGTCTACCAAAAAGTAACAGAGTAAGACCTAAAAAGTATCACACAGCAGAGAAGGTAGTCAGTAACTTACCCTAAAAATGGTGTAACTAGCTGGAGCAACTCAGAGCCAGAGACCAGCTCCTGGTTGAAGAGAGCAATGCAACGGAGAAAATTTTCATAGACTTCCTGACTCTTTAGCACCCTACGCACCTAAAGCATGGTTTGGAGAGAAACGATCAGATCACTTGAACACCACTTCTATTTAGTTCACGTTCTAATTAGTCTGAACCATGGGTACAGTGACAAACCTCTGTCTAGACTGCAACATAAAAAGAGAATATGCACAAAAATGCCCAGTTTCAAACAATAATCTAGTAACTACAGATGGTACCATGAGGAAAAATCACTGAAAAATAGAGAAAAAGATGTCTGTAAGAGACAAGCATTCAGGAAAAGGTTAATTATCCGTTTCTCTTCGTCTCCCAAACCCACCTATTTTCTCTTTTCTTGGTCTGTTTTTCTCTACCGCTTGACAAGTCAGGCAATTGCTAAGTGCTGAGACACAGATCATATAGAAAACCAACCAATTAATAACCTCATAAATAGTTGGAAATAAGTCCACAGAATGTGAGAACAGGCCAAATACTGACCTTGTCAAAGAAGGAAAACTCTTGCAGCGTTCCATATTTTCCCACTGTCGCTACTGACAGATCTTTGGTACCTCGCAGTTTCATTTTCTTCTGTTAAAAGAACAAACAGTTACCCGACTCAAATGCTATCGAATCCCTCTTCGCTGACATCTAACAGCTCTCTGCAAAGTCTGAAACTCAGGATTTCCCAAATAGTGATCTAGCACTGCTGTGTCAAGTCCTCCACAGCAATCTCTATCAAATGACTCCCAGCTAAGAAGAAGAAACAACAAAAAAGGATCACTTGAGAAAGAATTCCAAAGAACCATTTCTTTGTAGAAGCAATAAATTGTCCCTTTTCAGGGCCACTACTTAGTACAGAAGATCTTGATATTTAGTGTTCAACATGTTACCACACACATTTAAGCATACTTTAAAAAATCCCTTTTTCTACAGTAATTATTTTAAAAATAACTTTGAAATTTTGTTTCTCGTACCTAACACCTACATACCTCGAAGACGCTACTCATTACAGCTTCATCTAAGCAATTATCTAAATACAACAAGTAATATCAGGTTATTCTAAGTTTCTACTTGCTAAAAGATACCTTTGCTGGCCCAGAAACAGGACGCAACAGCAGTGGTCTGGATCGCTTTTTGCTGTGTTCCAGATTCTTCTCATGCTCAGTTTTTTGGACACTGTTCACTTCACATGGTCCATTTCCTGTGAACTGAAGTAAATAAATAATGATTTCAATGTTCGCTTCTCGGTCGGCGCAAATAAAGAACCCTATAAATCTGAACAGAACAGAGAACATGTAGTTAAGTCACCTGTTCTGTGAAATTCCAAACAATGAAGAGGAGCAAAGTTCATCTACTGGCTGTATGTTTTCCCATAATGTTTTGCGTTCCTAAAGCTTCTTATGTATTCTACATACAAACAGAGAGTATTCAATATTCTGCCTTGTTCTAAGCCTACACATACCAAAGACCTTTTAGCCTCTGGGAGGAACTGTCCAAACTCAGAAAGCAGATCCTCCTGTCCCCTGAACAGGTTTGCTACTTCAGTAAACACTTCTTCCTCTGACATGCCTCGAAAGGGTCGGCCTTTAGTGTTCAGCTGTTCTTTCTGAAAAGATACGCACAGATGTTAAATAGAGTCAAAAACATACCTCACTATGCAAGAAAACTCATCAACTCGGCCAAAAACCTTATGCTACACAAACTTGAAATAACTATCAGATAGCCCAAGGTTCTTACAGTGCATCCTTTCACAGAGAGTATCACTAAATCAACTGAAGGTTAGTAAAGACAGATCTAGGTACAACCCCTTTACACCTCAGAGCCTGGGAAGTTCTACAATTTTCACACTTTTGTCATTTCATGTGAATACCTATGAGGCAACTGCTGGACAAAGGCTAATGCTTGGGAACTGTGTAAGCCTGTTCAATAGGCAGACATTTCATCTGACAACAACTACTCAAACAGCTACAGTGCAAACCCACGATCTCTTATATGGAAGACTTTTTACCTGGTAAGTATGAAGAATTTCTAAAAAGGATCTGTAAATTTCTGGATGGTCAAGAAAACGTGTTTTGATCTTATTCACGTAACTGATAGCATTATTGAACTCTACAGAATCAGACTCCAAAGGAATTTGGGATTTATCTTCTTTGTACGGAAGCTGTTGCCTAAACTCCTCGGAGCAGTCACTGTGATTGTGCGAATTCTCCTGGGAGTAATGCAACAACAGCCCGCTGCCAGGGAGAGCGCTGGGAACAGGCTCTGAGGGCACCTAGTGGCATAAGACACAGAAGACAGTGACTTGTACAGAAACACAGGTGCAAGTTCAACCACAATCTAGCATCAGGATTTTCAAGCTGTTTAGCTAAAAAAGATTACCACGTGAAGAAGAAACAAAAAAGATTTAATTAGTCAATACATTTCCCTACCTAGTTTATTAACACCATCAGTTAAAAAAAACCCAGAAGTCATATCTGGCTTAGGAACGACCTGACTCATTACCGCTTTTGACTGTCACTGCATTGTCTGCTACACTTGAGAGGGTGTACCAGACAACACGCACCACAGTTTCTGTCACCACGGTTTTATCTCAGAGGAACTGCCAGTTTTAAGAAACAAATTAAAACGTACGGCTCTTAAAGATGCTAAATTTCCAAGCAACAGAGAGATCTAAGGGAACTGAGGTCTAAAAGATATTTACTGCTACTAATTAGGGTTAAACCATAAGTTTCTCAGTAGCCTTCAGGTAATAGCTCTGTTTCAGCCTCCACAACAAAGAAGCAGAGGCCAATACGTATCCATCTGTATTACAGCAGATGTCTTTTATCGCAGGATGTCAGCAATTGCATGGCAATACCTGACGTATTTTCTGCCTATTGCCTAATCACGTTTCCCAGTTTCTCAGTGGAAGACTAGAAATGTGATTCTTCCAGGATCTCTTTTTGAAATTTGTCACTACACACACCACGTACTGAGGATCTATATAAATATGTCAAGCCAATTACAATTTCAGTTTCCAAATCTGACTGAAGTATTTGGAGTTGAAGCGGCACTTCGTGCAGGAATATCATTCTTGTGTAAGCTAAACTAACAACTGGTTTGAGAATAAATGTTTAAATTTATATTATACCCATTATCATAGACATTCAAAACCACGTAAAAACCTCAGCAACATGCAATACATGTAAATCTACATAGCCTAAACTGTGCAAGAGATGTGTATAGCGAGACACGTAACAGAATTTATTTAGAGAATATGAGCTCTATAACCTACCTGACTATTCAAAGGTGACTGTATACTTAACTTCCCGTTCTTTGGAATTTCTATCCTATAGCCCAGAGGGAGGAAAGCATTGAATCCTACAATGAGGTCGGGATGCTCATGGAAAAGCTGCGAAACACGTCGGATTACTCCAGGTGTGTCAATGCTAAAATTGAGAAGAGTTTGTTACTCGTGTCCGAATCAGAAATACAAGTTAAGCCTAGCAAATTACAGAGGTATGTGAAGCATCTGGCTTCTAAGAAATGCAATTTTTTAACAAGAAAGTTTGGGAACCTCAGACCTAGAAATTAGCCCAAGCAGAGGGAATGACCACCACCCACTGCAGCCTCATACTGGGAGTGTTATCCACAGAGAGGATATATGAGTGGGCACGTTACCCAAAACGGGCAAGACAGCCATCACCTCTAGGGCTGACAGGTCACAGAGAAGCTCTGCACTCAAGCTTCTTCACTTATTTTCCAGATCTGCATTTCAGAGTGGGAAGTAAATATAGATTTGCCTTTTCCTGTGGATTTCATCTCTGGAAAATGACGGGATGAACAGAGACCCTCCACCTCCAATGTTTAGTGACTACACTACTGGGGAACAGGCCAGCAGGGCGGCCTGTGTGTCTGTGGAGGTGGAAAGATGACGTGAAGGCGGGGGGACCCTGCAAAGACAGAAAGGCCCCTGCAAAGGCAGAGAGACCCCCACAAAGGCTGAGGAGCTCCCCGGAGCAGCCCTGGGCCGCAGGGCCTGCGCCTTACCTCTGGCTCTTGAACTCTTTCATGATCTCCAGGAAGCCGTTGTAGGTGGCGGGGTCGCTGCCAAAGCGGATCTTCACCTGGTCCAGGTAGGAAAGCGCATCCTCCACCTGCAGGGTGAGAACGCGGGTGAGGCCCAGAAAGGGGGAACAGGCCCTGGGGCACCCCACGGTCCCAGAATGGGGGCAGGGGCACCCCACGGCACTGAGGGAGGTGGGAACAGGCCCCGGGGGGGAGCCCCACAGCACCGGGGAAGGGGGAGCAGCCTAGGGAGGGGCACACGGTACCAGAAGAAGAGGCCCTGAGGATGACAGGCCCCGGTGGGGTACCACCGTACCGGGGAAGGTGGGCCTCACGGTGCTGGAGGAGGATGGCAGGGCACGGAGGACGGCACGGTACCGGGGAGAGGGGAACAGGTCCCAGGGGAGCATGACCGCGGGACCGCAGGA